TGTAAGGAGAAATGCCTGAACACAGCCAAAGACAAGGTATATTGATGAGGTCATAGATCTGGACAGGCTTCTGTCCTCAACATCAGTCTTCAGTGACATATTGGAGATTATACTTGCTCTCAAGGTCAATTGTTGTTACTGGAGACTGATAGCATAAGCACTTCTGGCCATGTAGCATACTAGATCGTAGAAAGTCACAGTTTCAGCACAAATTGAAGGGGACACATAACTGTGGGTGCCTGGGAGGGTATAGTGTTCAAGCTCAGCACAAAGCTTAATCTAGGAAAATTCTAATCTGTGTAGGAAATGCCTACTTGCCAATGGCTTGCTATAACCTATTGAGTGAAGGATAATGTTCTATCTGTTAACCATGGGAGGTTAACCTTTGCAAGACTCCCATGGATGTCAGGAAGTGCTGGAAGAGACTGGAGTGACAAGGGAGGCAGGTAAGATTGGATTTAAGAGCTATATCACTGATATCAGCTCACCACCACAGAGAGGGTCGGTGCACAAGGAAAGAGGTCTGTCAACAAAGAGCTCAGTGAACAGCAGCACTGTGTTGGGCAGGTCATAGAACAGAAAGAGGTCACCTTTGGAATGAGATGGGGAAGACAGTTGTCAACAGATAAAGGCTTGTAATCTATTTTGCTTTTTAATTGTTAAAAACTATGTGTTTGCTGGGTGGTAGTAGCACATGCCTTTAATCCCAGCACTTGGGAGGCAAAAGCAGGCAGGTCTCAGTGAGTTTGAGGCCAGCCTGGCCTATAGAGCGAGTTTCAGGACAGGCACCAAAGCTACAGAGAAACCTTGTTTTGAAAAACAACAACAAAAGAAAACAAAACAAAAACAAGCTCTTTTTTTTTTTTAGTATTAATATGTATTAGGCCTGAACTGTTTAGGGGCCAGCTTGGAATGTTATCGTGGATTAATAAGGATAGGGAAAAACAGATAGGCTGAATAGATGTTTATTCAGGGAGAAATAACTTAAAACAGAGACAAATGAACTCCAGCAGGTTCCTGGTCCCAGGGATGCCTCCAGATCCTCTTTGTCCCTGTCCAGCAAGCAAGAGAGCACTCCAGGGACCTCTTCCCCAGACCTAGTTCCCCCAGGTCAAGTCTGCCCCTGTCCTCACCTCCAATGGGCGTGGTCAGTGCCACAGGTGTAGATAGAGTAAATATCTCACTACAGAATGTAATCAGATCAGTGGTGCCCAAGACAGTGGTGTCTCTACCTAGATCTTACCCACAGGACAGTAGGCTTGTGTTACTGATTTTAGTGAGGACAGCATCATTCTTTTCTTTTGAGGCAGGATCTTATTTAACCCAGAGTGCATTCAGACTCATAGCTAAGGATGACCTTGAGCTTCTCTGATCATCCTGTCTACACCTCCCATGTGACAGGATTACAGACATGTATCACCATGCCTGGCTCTATATGGTGCTTGGGATTGAGTTCATGCTAGGCAGGCAATCACCAACTGAACTATAGTCTCAGGACAAAGACAATATCTTGCCAGCTTGGATTTAATGGTTGTCTCATCTTCTAAGGCTATGTAAGGAGAATCTGAGTTGCATGGCTAGAAGTTTCTATTATATTATCTGGAGCCAGCATTAAGAGAAGTTTTATACGCATTTTAAAGTTACATTTCATTTACTTTGGGTGTCCATGCTTATCATTCTGAAGACAACTTGTGGAAGTTTGTTTTTTCCTTACACTATGTAGGTACTAGGGATTGAACTTGGGTTGTCAGGCATGGCAAGAGGCACCTTTATGTGCAGAACATAATGTCTTAAGGGCCATATTTTCCAGTTTTAGTTATCATTCATATTTTTGCATATCACAAAAGTGGGATAAACTGAGGCTCTTAGACTAGATGTTGACTAAATTTAGGGTATGTGAACCCCATCCCTGGAGAGGTTACTGGGTAGAACCCACAAGCTAGGCAATGTGCAGAGGGGTAGGAAGAGTTATGGGCCCAGACCTGCCATAGCAGGGACACTATTTGCTTATAAGAAATGAGTCCCTTGTATTCCCATTCCCTTGTTCATAAATGTGCACAGGGCTTGTATGTGAGTCATTGGGACTATAGCACAGGGCACCCACCATGCAGTAGATGAAGACAAGTGACCAACCTGCTTGCTGCCTACATGGTAGTTTCTACTCCACTGTTGTTATGGTTTGCCATGTCCATATGCATGTTGTTTTTGTGACCACAGATGTGATGATTGCAATGTACCAAGAAACTAAAACAAGCGATTCTTAGAAGGCCTGGAGACGACACCAGGCTGGCCACTTAACCACATGGTGTGGTAGAGGTACTGATACTTAGCTAATTTTTGAATGCTGGAGCCTCCAGAAAATGCTGTTACAGAGTTTGGCAGGGTATGTGTTGCCTTTACCACAGAATGCCAACTTTTTCTCTCAACACTGTACACTCATGATACTTACCAGCACTCTCCATTTTGTGAGTTTCATTGGATATTTAATTTATATTTCCCAGTTTAGTAATACAAGTTCATCAGCTGAAATTCACTTAATTTGGATTTTTTTTTTTCTTTAATGAATCTCTTTTCATCATTTAGAGCAGAAGTGGGCAAAGTTTCTCTTTAAAAAAAAAAATAGTACTTAATCATGGCTGGCCCTGTGACACAAAGCAGAACAGCAACACCACTCCATCCTCAGGACCTGAGTTTGCTGGCCTCTATTCTAATATGTTGCAGATAAGTGCATCTCCATTCATAATAGAGCTACATGATGTAATCACAAATTAGGAAAGATAATAAATACCCCTGACTTATTTGGCATCTGAACATGGCACCACATACTGTGTTGAATGTGCCATGTCACTTGTTTTAAATTGTAAGATACTCTTTTCTTCAGTTTATTGTGTCATGGGGACTCAAGGCCTCTTCCTGAGACCCATGGGCCACCCTTGCTGGCCGGTCCTTAGTAGTCAGCTCACCCTTTTGGAATCTTGTGTTCCATGAGAATGGCACTGCTATGCTTCTTATAGAGCTGGGTGCACCTTTCTTTTCCTCACTTCTGAGGAATAGCTGCTGTGTGGGACCCTGCCTGCTGATGGGCAGCCCAGTCACCTCCATCTGAGACTTCTGTATTATGCCTAGCTATACTGCTGGGACACATCTAACTTGGTCCTGAATGACTCTACCTTCATACACTAGATGAGGATGGCCAATGCTCTGCTTGGGGTCAGGCAGGTCTGTTACTTTTCTTATAAGTCTCATCTTGCTAGAGTTTGTTGTATGATTAGTCATTTCATACAGTAAGTTAGAGCGGCTGGAGAAATGGCTTAGCAGTTAAGAGCACTGACTGCTTTTCCAGAGGACCCGGGTTCAATTTCTAGCACCCACGTGGCAGCTCACAACTGTCTGTAACTCCAGTTCCAGGAGTTCTGACACCTTCACACAGACATATATGCAAGCAAAACACCAATGCACATTAAAATTTTTTTAAAAATTAAAGTGACTTAGAGATCCCTTCTGAAGGTGTTCTGGACCCAATCATTTTTACCACCTGATAGGGTGATTTGCTCTCAAATAGGTAGAGTCACAGACCGAGAACTATTTATTTATTTTTATTTTTTGGGGTGTTTGTTTTAAAGATTTATTTATTTACTATATATACAGTGTTCTGTCTGCATGCATCCCTGTAGGCCAGAAGAGGGCACCAGATCTCATTATGGATGGTTGTGAGCCATCATATGATTACTGGGAATTGAACTCAGGATCTCAGGAAAAGCAGCCAGTGCTCTTAAACTCTGAGCCATCTTTCCAACCATTTTTTTTTTTTTTCCCCTCCCCGGAGATCAAGTTTCTCTGTGTAGCCCTGGCTGTCCTGGAAGTCACTCTGAAGACCAGTCTGATCTTGAACTCAGGGATCCACCTGCCTCTTCCTCCCACATTCTGGGATTAAATGTGTGGGCCAGCACTGCCCAGCAACCCATGAAGAAAATTTTGTAACTATGTATTCAGATTCTATGATAGAGAACATTTTGGGTTTTTCACCACGACTCCCTGCTAGGAATTTATCCATTCCATACAAACTTCATTTTAAAAAATTACATGTAAGCCAGGAGTGGTGACACACACCTTTAATAATCCCAGCACCAGGATTAAATGCAATTAGTTATGTGCAGTGGCTTACACTTTAGAGGCTAAGGCAAGAGTATCGCTGGAACTTTGAGGTCCGCCTAGGGCGGCAAAGAATGAGTGCCACATTCTGGTTCTTTTGTCACAGGAGCCACCAAGTTTCAAGGACAGTAACTTTATATGGTCAGTGTGAACTCCATACTAGATGGGCTACTTTAAGACAAGCCTGGCATTGAGCTGGCCCCACCTCTTCCTCTAAATGTTCCCTCCCTTGGTTTACCTAATATTTCTTCTGCCTTCCCATTTCCCTTCTTCATTTGGTACAAGTTTCCTGGGTTGATAGGTTACTAAACATATGTGGTTCTGAAGCTGGAGAGAAGGCCTAGTGGTCAAGTGCATACTTGTTCTTCCACAGGACCCACATCAAGCAGTTATAACAGTCTGTAACTTCAGCTTCAGGCTTCGTAAGACACCCATACACACATTACATACATACATACATACATAGACACACACATGCACACATAAATAAAAAATGCAGTTGTACTAAATTTTTCAAGGTGAAATTATCTGAGTTGCATTTAAGACTAAGTTCATTCCAAGACATGTTATGGTATACCGTTTCCAGGTTGTATGTAATCAGCCCTTAAGCCACAAATACCTCATCCTGCCTCTTGGGCCCCAAAGTAGTGGAACCATCTTTTCTTTCCCTTACACCATAAACTGTATTTGTTCTGGATTGGGTGGGGCTCAGGAACTCTGGGAAGTTCTCCTCCTTCTTTACCATTACTCTCATGCAGACATGTTTAACCAGACAGTACTGAGAATTGCTAGAGGTTAGGGTGAGACAAGACCCTCCCGTGGTGACACCCATCTCTGCTTCTCCACAGACTTCACAATGTAGCCCTGGTTCCAGGCTGTCATTCACAGGTAAGCATAGCTGAAGCTGATCTTCCTTTCTGGCTACCTATGATTGATTCACTATGGTGGCCACCTCATATTTCCTTGAAGTTTGGTCTCTAGCAACTGTCTGTGGAGTTATTTGTGGTTCTAGATTGTCTTCCAGCATTTCTAGTCTGCCCTGTCCCTTGATTTAATATGTAGACCTTATCTAAGATGAAGAGGGTTTAATGTGGGATTGTATGCAGGACTGGCATCAATGTGCTTTGAATTAACAGTTCCATTTTTGTGCTAGAAAATGGAAAAGGAACAAGGCACAGAAGGAAGGTGCAGAAGCCAGCCAGAACACAGAATAAGGAGGGATCATCACATCCACTTGGTGGCCTGAAGCCTCCATGCCACCGGGTAAGGAAGGACTCACAGACATCCAGAGGAGGTGAGGTCTGGGATTCTTCTGAAGGGCCATGCTGTCTAGGGGAGGGAGGTCTGGATTCTGTCTGAAGAGTTTGGCCTTTTTTATACTCTATGCATGCTGTCTCTAGAGTACCACTAGTTCAGGGTGGGGTAGGTGTTCATCAGTCAGTTGCCTAAGAGAGGTGCATAGCTAGAAATGGTACCATGATTCAGATGGACTTTTCTGGGGCTGTATGACCATGCTTAGCCCTGAGTATAGTGTCTTAAAAGATATTGAGCTGGTCATACTATGCTAAGGGGCAGTTGGTGAGCCTGGAGCTCAACAGGGTCTGTCTAGATGATAACTTAGTGATAGAGGTGTCATAAGTTAGTTTTCCCTCTCATACAAAGTACAAGGGTGAGGATGGCTCAATTCCCAAGGTAGGAATGGACCCAGATACCAGTATAATGTTGAAAGGCTATGTGACAGATTCAGGTCAAAGTGACTGGCAATAAAGTTGAATCCACAATATCTAATCTAGCTTCCTATTGGTCTCTGTGTCTTTCTGGTAGACAGTATAGTAGCTAGTGGTAGTCTCTTGAGTTGTGGTTCAAACTCCACTTAACCACTGAGGCCTGAGGTAGGTCATTATTCAATGGTATGATGAGAAGAGATGGGCCATGTGTCCAACAAAAAGGATGGGATGGGTTATGAGTAGAAGAAAGGCAAATTGAGAAGGAAATAGATACCTGGTGTACTAGTCAGACAGACTATGGTCCAGTTAGTCCAACAATGACTGATTCCCAACAGAAAGTTCAAGAATCCAGTAATTGTTTTAGTCCATGATACTGGATATCTTAACTGGTCTTCAGTATACACTAGAATGCCAAAGAATAGGTTCCAGTGGCAGTGAAGGAGTGAATTTGCTAGCAAGAGTAGACAAAGAGAGCAAGCTTCCTTTTTCTGTGTCCTTTTGTGGCCCAGATTAGAGGTGGATCTTCCTACCTCAAAAGAAAAATGGATCTTGTATTTTAATTAAGAAAAAAAAAAAATTCCTCACAGGTATATTCAGCCACTTGAGTTTTTGTTAATTCCAGATGTAGTCAAGTTGACAACCTAGCTTAGTCATCACAGTTACTTCAGTGTATTTCTCCCACAGAAGCCAAAGATGTTGACCAGGAAGATTAAACTCTGGGACATAAACGCCCACATCACTTGCCGCCTGTGCAGCGGCTACCTCATTGATGCAACTACAGTGACTGAGTGTTTGCACACATGTGAGTACAACCAGTTCTACTCTGATCTAAATGGGGTAGGGGCTGCTCCAGCATATTCCTTAGGACTTTAAACTTGGGCATGAGAGCAATAGGGCCAAGAGAAGAACAAAGGTCTTGGTTGGGGTGGTTGAAAAATTTACCTTAAACTAGGGATGCTATAGGTAACTCCCTAGAGGGAAGTTTCTATAGGTAACTCCCTGGAGGGAAGTTTCTGTCAGGAAAGCTGAACAAAGGAAAACTACTTTTTTTTTTTTTTTTTTTTTTGTCTGTCAAATGACCACTGGTGTAGTGATACTCTTTTCTAGTAGGGAGGTACTTGTGAAATTTCAAGTGAAGTCTTTTCTTTTTAATAGTCAAGCATTTGTGCCTGTTACTCATTCTGCTTGTTGGGCCTGGACCTATTCAGGATAAGTTTTTATCTTCATATTGTTACTGTTATTTTAGTTATTTTATAATTTTTATATCTATGAGTGTTTAGCCTATGTTTATGTATGTGTACTACATGCTTGCAATACCAGCAGAGACTGGAAGAAGGCATTGGATCCTGTCTGACTAGAGTTGTAGTTGTAGACTATCACGTGGACACTAGAAACTGAACCTAAGTTTTCTGCATGAGCATCAAGTGTTCTTAACCACTGAGCCATTTCTCCAGCCCCCCCCCCCAAGATTATTTTTTAATTTTTTTTTTTATTTTTCTGTCTCACTGGAAGACAGATTTCTGTCTGGATCACTTAGAGGCTGCATTATCACATATGACTTCCATCCTATACATTTGCATTTTTTAAAATGTTTTCTACTTTCAAAGAATTTTTAGGTTAAGATTAATTGAATTGTTAGAAATTGGTGGTACAATTTTGTGTTTGGCAGTTTCACTGAATTTTACCTAGTTTTTCAGTATAAGACAGTTTTATAATCTTTTAGGCCAAAATATAGATTTTAAAATATCAGTTATAGTCTCATGATCTTGCCACATAGTGACTTAGACAACCACTCCTTGGTGTTTCTTCTCCAGTTAGTTCCCAGGCCAGGAGTGTATAACAGGTGATAACCGCATAGTGCAACCCAAAGGCACCTTCTTTTCAGAGGTCAGGAACTTTGTAGAGGAGGCTGTTTATGCAAATGCCCTCTTATCCGTCTTGGAGTTGGCTGGGCATGGTACCAACTAGCACCTCTCTTCTGGGTTGCTGTCATCCTCTCCCTTTGGATAGTCTGCAGGAGCTGCCTTGTGAAATATCTGGAGGAGAATAATACCTGCCCCACTTGCAGGATCGTGATCCATCAGAGCCACCCACTACAGTATATTGGGTGAGTAATAATATGGGCTGGTGCTCCCTAGTCATCATGTCCATACATCTGCATGGAAGTGACCACCTTGTTCTTGGACCCCAGATACCACAGTACAGGTGAGCAGGGCCCTGGAGGGACCATAACAACAATTAGAATCTTAAAAGTTTCTTAAACTAAAAGTTTTAAGTAGAAGGAACCTCACACCTACCTTTCTTTAGAGTAGCATATTCCCCCTGGGCTGGAATTTGAGCCAAGGAAGCAGGGGCTTGTAATTGGAGTTTCTGATTTAAAACTCACTCTGAAGGAAATTAAGTCACAGATACATGTGGCATGAAGGAATCAGAGAAGATGAAAACATATTTGTTTTTCACTTTAAAGTTGTACAGCATGTCACAGTCATAGCCGTTCAAGTTAATTGTCTGACCTTAAAAATCCTTCTAGACTTCCAACACTACTGATGGCACCATTTCTACTTCCCACCCTGAAATGAGAGTGTGTTTTCTGTCTGCCTAACTTCATTGCCAGATCATCTGTTCATAGACTCAATCTCTCCAAAAGACCCCATGGTCTACATACCCTATGTGGTGGACATATGGAAATGTCTAGCAGTTCTTGGTATTAAGTACTGTCCTGAGTTCCTGCCAGTGTCCCACATGTAGAATGGGTTGGGGACATCTGATTTAAAGAATTTCTGTCCAAATTCCTATTGACTGTTAAACCATTGGCTCTGTATTCTGGCCAGCCTTGTGTAGGGTTTTTAGTTTTGTCACCATGATGGCTCTGGACACATAGCAGCCCACCTCCATAGTTATCCCTAAGCCTGGTGCCTTCCCATACATCAGTTCACTGTTGGGACTTTTCTGTCCTCATGTGATAGCACAAGCTGTGTCACCTGCTTCCTTCCTGGGGTGCAGTTTTCTGTAGAGCTCAGAGCACATGGCTGCTGACACAAGTGGTGAGGGGCCTTCCTTAGGGCTGGAGTTGGAGGCTGGGGAGGCTGCTATCCTCTTTAGGGTTGCTGGAGTTTCCTGTGGTGGCAGAACATTAAGGAGCTATCTTGTGGGCAGATCCTCTCATGCAAGCTTAGCTTGTCATGCAAACACAAAAGAGAATTGGGGGAGGAGCACAGCAATGGACCAGGTGTTGGATAAGTAAAGACAGCAGGGAGGTATCTTGTCCTGAACGTTGTGACTTATGAGTTGGATACCAGCTAAAGCCTTGACCTCTAGAGGCTTTTAGCCTCTCTTTCTCTCTCTCTCTCTCTCTCTCTCTCTCTCTCTCTCTCTCTCTCTCTCTCTCTCTGTGTGTGTGTGTGTGTGTGTGTGTGTCTCTCTCTCTGTCTCTCTCTCTGGTTTAATTGACACAGGGTTTTATGTCGCCCTGAACTTCTGCTTCTACTTCCCAAGAACTAAGATTATTGAGTGTGTTCTACCACACCCCATTTATACAGTGTTGGGGATCAAACTCAGAGCTTTGTGAATTCAAGGCGAATATTCTATCAGTTGAGCTTTATCTCCAACTCTCTTAGCCCTGCTCTCACTAGCAATGTCTTGGTCCCATCTGAAATTGTCTATGGTGATACTGCTGATGGTGCCATCCTCTGCTCATGACTTAGTTTCACCTACCACAGCCTGTTGCCTGATTCTCTACTTCAGGAGGCAAGGAGAGAAAGCCTGTGGGCCCTGCAGTATTATATGGACTGGGTTTTCTTGGCTTCAGCATTTACACCTCAAGATTTAGGGTAGAAAGATGTGCAGCCAGCAGTAGCAGGGATGATCTAAGCAGGTGGTAGAGACCTTGCAGAGTATTGAAAAATGCCTCTGTGAGCCTGCAGTGTGAGCAAGTTCACTTTGGAAAAAAAAAAAAAACAAAAAAAAACCAGCTCGAATTTAAGAGCCTTCCATCCAAAAAGTACACTGTGTTATGTTTCCCACTAGTCCTCTTGTTAGGCCTCCACAGTAGACAAAGCTTGGCATCATTGCTTGGTACTCAAGTATGGAGTTCTGGCTACCAACTCTACTCAACATGGTCTTGATCTGTAAGCTCAAGTAAAGCATGTCAAGGGTATCAAATGCTTGGAAAGCCATGTCTTAGTTCACTTCTCTGTTGCTGTGATAAAACACTAATCAAAACCAATGTAGGGAGGAAGGGGTTTATTTAGTATAAATTTCTAGGTCATAGTTCATCACTGTTACTGTAAGAATCAGGGCTTACTGGCTTGTTCTCCATGCTCAGCCTGCTTTCCCATACAATCTTGGACCACCTGCTCAGGGTGACATTTACGCAGTGGGCTGGACTAATTAAGCCCCTACCCTTGGCTACAGGCCCAGTCTGATGGGGGCAGTTTCTAATTTGAGGTTCCCTTTTCCCAGTGACTCCAGTTTGTGCCAAGTCCACAATTTGTGCAAAAACCAATCAGCACAGGTCCCAATCTACAAAGTCCAAATTTGCACCTGAGTGCATGCATGCATCCTGGTCTAGGTAGTGGAAAGGAAGTTTGGAGCTCTGTGTGACCACCTCTTACAATATACAGTTGGGCCTCATAGCCAAAAACTTTCAAAGCACAAGAAGTTGGTTCATTCAGTGAATGATGGTTTTCAGCGGTTAGGTGGCTTCAGTTGCACTAGGACTTGCCCATGAGTAGCCACTGGGCTGAGCCCAGATTGGCTAGATTCCTGTGCTTTTGTTGTAGTGTAATCATTGGCCAGTTACTGGATTCATACCATAAGGATTAGAAGTTAAAATAACTTTGAAAATTAAGAAATTCTCTTACTTTATTCTAGAAATTACTTGACATATTTTATGCTTAAAAATAGCAAACTATAGTGGGAACCATCTTGTAGATAGAGTAGCTCATGGTTTGCCTGTGCCCAGGAAGTTGTCCAGCAGGCTGGAGGCACTGTACCCAAAGTAACCTTTTCTTATTCCAAGTAGCTGGAACCTAAATTAATGATGCATCAATTCAAGTCCTAGATAACTTTTAGAACATGTTTTTCATTGCAAACTAGAAGGAAAATTCAACCTCAAGTTGTTAAATAGAAAATTATAGCATTTACATTGGCTGACCCTCTCCCACCAACCTGTTCTCTTTTTCAGTCATGACAGAACCATGCAGGACATTGTTTACAAGCTGGTACCAGGCCTCCAGGAAGGTGAGTTGAAACACTGTTCAGCCCAAGTCCATAGCTAGGGCTCTGGCTCTTGGACCCAGCCCCCTTCCTCAGCAGTATCCCCATTTTCCACATGTCTGTTCTTAGTTCTAGATTCTCCATTATCTTCCTGTGATACATAGGCTGTGTTAGTTTTGGGAAACAGCAACACCTCAAGATAAAATGCTGACATCTTCAGAAGCATTTGCAATAGAATTATATAAGGATGTAGCCAAGTACATGAAGATCTCTGTATGCTGTGATCATTGATTTTTGTTTGTTAATTTTGTATCCTGCTACTTTGCTGAAAGTGTTTATCAGCTGTAGGAGTTTCCAGGAAGAGTTTTTAAGGTCATTTATGCATACAATGGTATCATCTGCAAATAAAGATACTTTGATTTCTTTTCTTCCTTTTGTAACCTTTTGATCTCCTTCATTTGTCTTGTTGTTCTCATATCAATATGGAGAGAGTGGATATCCTTGTCTTATTCCTGACTATAGAGGAAATGCTTTGAGTTTTACTCTGTTTAGGTTGATGTTGGCTGTGGACTAGTTGTAAATCGCATCTATTATATTGAAGTATGCCCCTTGTATCTCCAGTCTCTACAGGACTTTTATCATAAAAGGGTGTTGGCTTTTGTCAAAAGTCTTTTCAGCATTTAATGGGATGATCATGTGGTTTTGGATTGAACCATCACTTTATCTCTAGGATGAAGTCTACTTGATCATGGTAGATGATCTTTTTGATTCTTGGATTTGTTTTGCAATTATTTTACTTATAAATTTTGCATGTTCATAAGAGAAATTGGTCTGGTCCTTCTGTTTCTATTTTATTGAGTTATTTGGGGAGTATTGGCATTAATTCTTCCTTGAAAGTCTGATAGAATTCTGTGCTAAAAGCATTTGGCCCTGGGATTTTTTTTTTTTTTGTTTTGTTTTGGTTGGGAGACTTCTGATGACTGCTTCCATTTCACGAAGGGTAATAGAGCTGTTTAAATTGCTTATTTCATCTTGATTTAACTTTGGTAGATGGTATTGAGAAAAGTATCCATTTCCTTTACATTTTCCAATTTGGTAGAGTACGGTTTTAAAAGTATGTCCTTATGATTCTCTATGTTTCCTTGGTGTTTGTATCTATTTGTTTGTTTTGGTGGGGGTTTTGTTTGTTTGTTTGTCTATTTGTAGATAGGGTCTGACTAGTTCTGGCTGGCCTTGAACTTATTGAGATCTGCCTGTGTCTGTCTCCCAAGGGCTGGGATTAATAGGTTTGTGTCATCATTCCTGCAAGTGTTTCTGTATCTGTATATACCTGATATTGGACATATTAGACCCCCTCTTTTTTTTTTTTTCCTGTAACCAATACCCCAGAGAACTAGTTTTGTCATACTGTTTAGGGTTTTAAGCCCATGGTCATCTGGTTCTATTATTTGTGGGCCATAGTGAAGCAGAAGAATGTCTTGATGGAAGGGTATTGGCAGAACAAAGTTGCTTACCTTGTAGTGGCCAGGAAACAGAGGAGCAAAAACAGGCAAGATGAACTAGGAGCAAGCTCTTTAGAAGCATGCCCAGGAACCTACTTCCTACAGCTAGGCCCTGCCTTTTACACCTCTCAGTAATGCACTGGGATTATCTATTGAAGTTAGAGATCTCCTGATCCAGTCTCCTCCCAAGAGCTCCATAATTATCAACCTTAAATATGAGAGAGCCTTCAGAAGACATTTCAGATTCAAACTACACACTGGGGTATTGTTATTTTTATTATGAAGCTGAAAAGTAAGGAAACAGGCAGTGAACATGGTGGCAGAATCTGAGTTATTTCTTTCTGCTTTTGGAGTTAAAGTGGCAGCTCTTCCTCCCTTTATCAGAAACTGTCCCATACTCTTGTTTCAGGGCTGCCTTTCATACAGTTGTATATAGGAACCTCTCTTTCTTCATTTATTTATTTTATGTATATGTGTGTGCATATGGGGAGGTTTGTGTTCCCTGGTTGAATACGAAAATCAGGAACAACTTGCAGCAGTCAGTTCCTTCCTTCCACAATGTGGGTCATAGTATCAAACCCTGATTGTCAGGCGTGGTGACAGGCATCTTTAACCACTGAACCACTTTTCTGGTCCAAGAACATTTCTTGGGTTGAGCTCTTCTTTCCTTCCACTTTAAAAGGGTTCCTATTCTGTCCAGGTACACAATTTATACATCTTCATATGTGTACAGTCAGGTTTGCAATGCATCTGTTCATGCTGGACATGTCCAGAATGTGTTCTAGGCTCTCTAGGGGTTCCAGGTCTATTGGGAAAGACAAATATACAGATGAAAAGTTTAGTAAGGCCAGGCATGCTGGCCCATGCTTTTAACTCCAGCATTCAGGAGGCAAAAACAGGTTGATTTCTGTGATTTAGAGGCTAGCCTGGTTTACACAGTGAGTTCCAGACCAGCCAGTGCTATCTATCTCAAAAAATAAATAAGTAAAATTTTATTTTAATAAAGCATTTCTTTTACAGAGTTACTTGTAGAATTTTGGTTTGAACAAATCATTTTAAGTTTCCTTTGCCATCTGTGTGTTCTGTGCAGTGGCTAGGATCTGATGCCTGTCCTTTGGGTCTGAGTTTTAGCCACATGGATAGAGCTTTTGCTGAAAGTCAGACGCTGCTCTTGTGTAATTGATAATTTCCTCCAAGGACAAGATAACAGCCTGGTCTAACCAGTGGTGTTTGTTGTATGCTGACACACCATGCTGCTGTATTGGATGATGATCCAGAGAAACACAGTAATCTGAAACCCTGGGCAGCTGCATGATTAGATGCCCGCCTTTAAGAATAAAATTTCTCTGTATGCTGGAAGTTTCTGTTTCCTCTTTTTCTTACATTTTTTTTTTTTCACAGCCACTGCTTTCCACAGCCACTGGGGGCAGTCTTCACCCAGTACAAGAAGACATGGCCACTGGTTACTGCTGTAGTCTCTGATGTAATCAAGGGACCTTAGCACACAAACATAGGCTTCCAGGACAGGGTTGTTCTGGAACTGTCCTTGTCTTCCAGGTGTATCTACTGCACTTAGCTTAGTGAGAGTTCTTCTGCATTTAATGACAGCCAAATGGTCCTAGATAGTGACCTAAATTATGGCTATAAGTACAGTGGGAACACTTGGCAGCATGTGTAGATTGCCAAGCTATCTGTACCAAAATGGTATGTAGTACATAAGAATGCACTAGCAGCCGCGTTGTCAGTGGTGATGGGTAAAGGTCATCGCGCCACCTCCTCAGGGTCTGTCACACTTTGGGGAGTTCCTCAAACTGCCTCCCTAGACTCTGTCATGCTCTAGGTGATGAATAACCCCACACCATCCTAGAGGGTTGAGGAAGTTGGGTCATAGTCCCTACAGTTTCCCTACAGCTCCAGAGCCTATCTTATTGCACCCATGTCCTGTCTCAGTGTTCTCGAACATTGCAACATGGGCATTAAGGTTCCCATTCTGACCTTGTTTTCTTACTAGTGTCATCTTTCAGACTCATCATCTAACTGGGAAAGTTTCTTTGTATGATATTAGTGAGTAGTTTTACTATTTAAGTCCTTTCCTACTGAATATTAAAAGTGTCTCCATTCTTAATAGCGGAAATGAGGAAACAGAGGGAGTTCTATCACAAACTGGGCATGGAGGTACCAGGCGACATCAAGGGGGAGGCATGTTCAGCCAAACAGCACTTAGATCCCCGCAATGGTGAGTAGCTCATTAGGCTACCATATAGTTCAGATGCTCATTTATCAGGCTTTCCCTCATAGAGCACTTTGTCTCAAGATGTAGGTAGTTTTGGCTATATTCTGATGGTTGCTGAAAAGGCTCTTCATCAACCCTGGTAGCTGGACATATGGGTGAGACTAAAAGAGATACTAGAAAATGCCTAGTGGTCATGTGGAAGATAACAGAATTGGACAGAAGGCCTAGGAAAAAAACTGTAGAAGGTGGATATCCTTAAGATAACATTCTAAATTTACTTGCTTTTTGATAAAGAGGCCAAATGCCAATTGGATTTGAGCATAAAATTAATTGGTGCTTTTAAGCCTATATCTAATAAATTATTCAAATCTTTAGTACTGACACTTTGCTAGTGGGACCATGTAAGTTCCTAAGAAATCTCAAGACCACCCTGTATGTGCTTAACAGGAGAGTTGGTAGCCAGGACCCTGTGAGAGCCTGACTAGGCTTGGATGGGAGTGGGTAGGGTGGATGGAAGTGGAAATCTGGTCTTGAGTATGTATCCAAACAGTAAGGGTCCATGAGCCAGACTACTTAGAGAAGTAGGTTGCTGTGGTGAGTGCTGAATGGTCCTGGAGGCTTGTCTCTGCTGTGCTCACCAGTTTTGGTCACTGTCTCCATCTTCTGAGTCCCTTAAAACAAGTAGTCCAAATCCAATTAGCTCCTCGAAACATAATCCAAAACCTGCCTCACCCAGCTGCAACCGTAGGGCCTTATACCACAAAGTTGCTTAGTTCCTTAGCAGACATGCAGAATGGTTTTAACTGCTATCACTGGGCTCTTTGTATGTATGCTCTCATTAGAATGAATGTCAACATCATTTTTAGTATACTCTGGACTTTCACAAATACAGTATTTTGGATTTCTTAATATAGGTTTTGCTTGTCCAAAATGCTTGGAGCCAAGCATTTCAGAATTGGATATTTTTTCATTTTGGAAAGGTTGCATATAATACTTTAATTCTGCCTTTTTCTGCATATAGCCTGTCATATAGGGGTAAGTGTAAAAGTTTATTCCTTCACCTCTAAAAGTTTAACGTACTAGAACTTTTGAATTTTGGATTAGAGATATTTCAACCTGTACAACATTTGCTATTTGTGCTAAAAGGTGAAACCAAAGCAGAGGACAGTTCCAATAAAGAGACAGCAGAAGAGAAGCAAGAGGAGGACAACGACTACCACAGGAGTGATGAGCAGGTGAGAATGCCTCCTCGGAAAATCTTCTAGCCTCAGCTCATTCCTGTGTTTGCAAATTTCAGTGTCTCATAAAAATGTAACAGGGTAAAACATCGTAAAGCTTTCCTCCTATTAGTTCCTTAATCTTTCTTTATATTCCTGTTGTTTTAATTATCAAAGCAACACATAGTGGCTATGTGTGGCATTTCAGACATACAGAATCACAGTCTATAATCAGATTGCATTTTCTGCAGCCGGCTGCAAACACTCACTCTTGGTGGTTTGGTGCCTCCTCTGCTGTGCTTCTCAGCACGATGGAGGGAAGTGAGCATGCAATGTTGAGGACTCTCCATGTCTCATTTGCAACATTATCAGCTGAAAAAATAAAACCAAACCAACCAAACAAAAACCATACCATCACAGAAGTGCTATAGTAGGATCTGATAAAATCCCGTATCCCTGTTGACATAACTTCCTAGTTTGTGGGCTCTAATGGTTGTAATGATTTTAATGAAATAGAATCATTATCTTAATAAAACAAGGAGTAAGGAAATGCCATGACTGATTGGCTGTCACTCTGTGTTTAGAGCTCCTCTCCCAGCACCAGGTAAACAAGAATGAGACATTTAAAGAGGAACAAAGATGCCGTTATTCCTAGGTAATGCTGTCTTACATAAAACCCAAGATAATCCACTGAAAACAGGATTTACTTTGCTCTGTGGGTGATTGGATCAGCATGTAATAATCAGTTCATGTTGGGAATAGACAAAGAACCAGTGCATAACACCAACAAGAATTTTAGCATGATCTCCTTGGGAAAGAGAGGTCCTTTCCCCAGTCTGACTTTAGACATGATGCTAAAGTTGACAGGAAACAGCCACTATGCAGCTTCCTGGGACATGAATGTGCATCAATAGCCATAAAATTGCTGTGCATAGTGGGGAGATCTTGGCCCTATCAGAAGACATAGTAACTGAAACAGTATATTTGGGGCTGGAATGGTGGAATCTTATCTTTACGTCCATTTCTGCAGTTAATGATAGTCAGCACCACAGAAAAGGGATAGGTTTGCAGATAAATGTGGGATTAACGTTCTTCCCTATGGTGAGTGAACCACTATGGCTACCCTTGTGTGGCCACTGGTCTCATCTGCTGTCTTGATTCTGAGCATCAGTAACAGAGGTGACAATAGTTATTGTCTATAGGTACCTTGGAGCAACTCTCAGGCAGTATCCCCAGCTTTCACAGGTCCTGCCCTGTGGGTCATATGCCTGCTAGCCTTCCTGGAGCAATAGTGTTCCTTGCCTGGACTAAGTCCTATGCTTTTTGAAGCCATGGATCTCTATACCTTGCCCAGGCCCAGGCATTGCTTCTGTCACTTTTCTATAGATTGGCATAGAATTGTTCAAAATATTTTCTCTAATCTTTGTTAGGTAGTTTAAATTTTTTCTGTTGTTGACTGTTGTTAATTTTTGCCTTTTCTTTTTTATACCAAATATGCTACTAGTTTTAGTGTTTCTTACTTAAAGCATGTGTGGGGATTGATTTTTTTTTTTTTTTTTTTTTTTTTTGTATTGGTCTAGCCTTTGGAGCTAAACTCTGTGTATATTCTTGATCTCACACAAGCTGTGAACTTCTTGGGTGCCTTGGGTACAGTCCCTGGCACTGACAAGTTATAACCATTGCTGGAGAGGCATCATCTTTCCTTTCTAGAGAAGTGTTCTCAAATGTCCACCTGAACACCCTTTTTGGCTATAGTATTTTCTACTTCCTTTCACCTGTGCTGATCTTGGCACGGAGTCCATGCTCCTCCTGTGTCCAGGTTTTAGTTTGCTTTTTTGTTGCTGTGATAAACAACATGACCGAAAGCAACTTGGGGAGGAAGGGGTTTGTTTCATTTTTCACTTTATGGTCCATCGTCAAGAGAAGTCAAGATAGGACCTGAAGGTAGAAACCTGAAGGCAGGGACTAAATCAGAGACCGCAGAGGAACACTGCTTATTGACTTGACTTGCTTATCGAGCTTCCTTCTTTCTTTCTTTCTTTCTTTTTTTTTTTTTTTTTTTTGTTTTGTTTTGTTTTTTGTGTTCAAGACAGGGTTTCTCTAGCTCTAGAGCCTGCCCTGGAAATTGCTCTATAGACCAGGCTGGCTTCAAACTCACAGGGAGATCTTCCTGCCTCTGCCTCCTGAGTGCTGGGATTAAAGGCATGCACCACCACTGCCTTGCTGCTTATCTGGCTTTCTTAGGATCACCTCCTTAGGGTAGCACTGTCCACAGTGAGCTAGACCTACTGCAGTCAACAAAATGCCCCACAGACATTTCCACCAGCCAATTTGATGTAGGCAGTTTCTGAGTTGAGATTTCCAAGATTAGCCATAACAAGTCTGCTCTTTGTCAACTTGACATATAAACATATCACTATTAAACCATAACCTTTTCTTTTTCTTGCTTCCCAGGACCTTATGTTGATATGTGAATTTAAAATATAGTACAACTTTAAAGTCCCACCTTCATCAATTAGCAATAATGAAAATTCCCTACAGATGTCTTTCTTTCCAGGTGTCTCAAGTTGACAACCAAGATAAGCCTTCACAGTCCAGTTGGGCAGATTGCTCAGGGGAGCTATTCTTTAAGTTACTGATTTGTCTGTACTCACTTTAGTTAAGCATATGGGACCTACGGCCCCGTCTTCTCAAGTCCTAACACTAAGCTTAAACTGCAGTTACCTTCAGAAGCTGTCTCTGCCGGTGCTTCAGTTTCCTTGCCTGTGAATACAGTTGAAGCTTGTGATGGACTATAAAGCACCAAGCCAGCTCAGAAGAAATTAGTGTTGATTTCACACTTATTTCCTCTTATTAGGTTCCTCTGAGTCATCATTGCTTTCTAGTCAGTCTCTCTGTGATCCTTGCAGTTGTGTTTGTCTTAGGGAACACAGACTGTGGCTGGCCCACATTCTTGATAAATATGCTGTCTCCCAGTTGAGTTCTTTCTGTGCCGTTGCTTTGCTTTGGTTCCTGATTTTTCAGGCTTTGTTGTTGCCACTTTGCTTGGTTTCTCTCAATCTTTCTTTGTTTTGATGCTTTAGGTATGTAATTATATGCTGCATTTTTTAACACATCTTGAAGATCCTATTTACTTGTGTCCATTGGAGTAGCTGTCTTGTTTTTCTCTTTACTGTTGACCCATCTCCAGGTTGTTCCTTCTTTCTCACCCTGGGTGCTCTTAAATTTTGAACATGCTTAAGTTTACATTTTTAAGTAATGCATTTCTTTTTCAGAAGATTTTTTTTAATGAATCAGAGTTGGATATAATGAAGTTATTTTAATTTTAGTACAGAATTAGGCATAAGGGGTAAAAGAAAGAGATGCTCAGAAGAAAGTAAGACACATACAAAAGCATGAGTGTGACCTTCTCAGAGGCCAGTCATGGTCATTGTCATTTGTATTTTTTTCTCACTACTATATTCCATAAATTGTTGCTTATTTTTATAAAAAAATTTGACATAAACTGGTGACTCAACACTTGTGGATGGCTGAGAAGTACAAAAAGTATGTATCAAGCCAGGAATGGTGGTTTACACCTTCAATTCTAGCACTTAGGATGCAGAGGCAGGTGGATCTCTGAGTTCAGTACTAATCTTGCCTATATAGAGAGTTCTAGGCCATCCATAGCTACATAATGAGATCCTGTCTCAAAACAGAAAAAGTAGATCAAGTTTCTATAATCCATGTCATTTTTTTCTGAAGAATTGACAGGACTTTTATTTTCTCATTTCCTGGGGCAAGGGATTAAAGGGTCTCTTCCTATGAGAGCCCCACCTGTCTGTAGGTGTTCAAGCTCCTCACTGATTTCAGTCTTACTCTTTTTTGGGAGTTCCTAACTATCTAGGAATCTGCCTCATGGTTGTTTTGTTCCACACAAGGAACCTCATTCTTCATTTCTTCTTCTTAACTTGGCCCCGAGTTGAATCTTTCCTAGGTTCCCTTTTCCTTTCTTTTGCCCTTGTTCACAGTGAAAAGGCCATCTGGGCAGAACCATCGCATTCTTTCTTTGTAGCTGAGATATGTGTTGCTACAGGTCTCTTTTCCTAAGGCCTGATTACTTCTTTTGGGACAGCCTGAGTAGTAGATGGTTGGTGAATGGAAAGTTGGCTCTAATCACCCCCCCCTCTCTCCTTCTCTCTCTCTCTCTCTCTGTGTGTGTCTGTCTTGTCTGTCTGTCTCTCTTTGTCTCTCTCAAGCTGTTTCTCATGAGATACCGTGTACAAGATATTCTCACATCCAGAAACCCCACCTGTGGATAGGGGATGGCTGCTACCACAAAGGCCCCCTCCTTAGCTCCCCAGTGGAGTTTTGGGTATTGATTATTGATTTATTTATTTATTTTTTTGAGCAGCCATTGTGGGCTCTGGGGGGGGGGGTTCTCCAGTTGACAATGATCCCTGTACAAACTTTGTCCTCTTTGTGGGGCTCTTTTGCAAGAGCAGAGGACAGGCTGTCACCTCCTGCAAAAACACCCAGGTGCCTCTCTGCCTCCCATGTCTCAAGCTGATCTACCTCAATCTATTTTCATTCTGAGTTCTTGAATTTCTATCTAGAAAGACTTTTGTAGAGCAGCCTTTATATACCAAATAGCTTTTTAGCTGTTTCCCTACCTTTTTCTCTGTAGTTCCAGAGGACAGTAGTAGCCATGCTGCTTTGACCTTTGTGGGGCCAGTATTCTGCCTTTGAGTTTCTTCCAGCAGCTTTAAAATCTAGATCAGATGCTACATGGCAAGAGGGTGTTGGAAACTGAGGCTGGATCTATGATCAATTATGGAACGAACTTTGGCTGAACTCTGGCTTTCTCTTGGCTGTACATTAGAGCCTTCAGTTATTCAATAAAGGTTTGATGATTTAGTAACAAGCTCTATTTAGCAAGATCAGCCTAGCATATAACCACTAGCCCCATCACCATAGTAACCTTTCTTGTTCTCAACTCCTGATCTTTCCACCCATGTCAACATCCATTCTTTGTGATT